TTTTTAAGTGCAGATCTGCCCATCCCAGAGCCTGTTTATAGCAACTTTGTATGGATGCTGCTCCTGTCATGGGAAGCAAGCTGCTAGAATTCCTGTAGGAGCTTCTTGTCTGTTAACCCCTGCCACCTCAATGCTTCATTGCTTTCCAGCTCTTGTACCTACCCAAAGCAATTTTGTACTCATTAGGACTTAAAAAAAATTTTTTTTTAATTTTAAAGAGAATAAAACAAAGCAGAACAAAGCAGAGTGAAACAATGCAAATAACACAGGATTTTAGAAAAAGCAGGAGATCAGTGGGGGCTACCATAATGTTTCTTGTTTTGTTCAAAATAATTGTCCATACCTTCACATACAATAAGTTAATACAAATCAAAATGGTTTAAAAGCAATCAAAACACAAGAATGAGAGCCTTAAGGGCTTTCAAGACCAGACTCTAGGAAATCAATAATGGCTACCATAATGTCTCTTCTTTTCTTCAAAATAGCTGTCCATATCTTCACACATATTGAAATCAAATAATTGAAAACAGACTAAAAACCAGTCAAAACCAAGAATAAAAGCATTATTGGTTTTCGAAATAAAATTATAGGAAATCAGTGGCTACCACGGTGTCTCGTTTTCTTCTGTATAGTTGCTCATATTATCACACATACTAAAATCAATTCTTATAAACCCTTTAGGTGAAGTTCTAGGCATATATAAGCCTATACATGCACATCTATCCTATCTGTATTAGAGGGAAAAACAAAACAATATAACTAAAATAAATATAACTAAGAGCCTAAAACAATAACAACGTAGGCTTTCAAAACGAGGTGGCAGAAATATAACCATTTTTGTTGTTTTGCATAGTTATCTTCATAACTCTTATTTGAATTACCAGATATAGTAATGCAAAATTGATCTAATCCTACCGATGTTATCTATTTTGTTCCAAGAACTAATAGAATTAGTAGTACAATCATCTTAGTAATCTTACTTATATATACACAAATTTTCATCTTACTTCGTTTCCCTTCCTTCTTTTCTTCTTTCCTTGTCTTATTTTTCCCGCTTTGAGCAGTTTTTTACCCTTTCACAATACTTATTGAAGATTTTGTATGTTATTTACTCTTTCAGTTTCCTAAACTAAGGAGACAATATGGTTATTTACACATGTGAGTTTGATTTATTTCACTTATGAGTATGGTCTCAAGTTGTATCCATTTAATTATAGAAGCCTCAATGTGGTCTTTCTTTATAGCTGAGTAGTATTCCATTGTATAAAAATACCACATCTTTTTTATCCATTCCTCAGTTTTATCCATTCCTCAGTTGATTGGGTTGTTTCCAAGATTTAGCTATTATAGATTGTGCTGCTATAAACATGGGTGCCCATATATCACTGTAGTATAATGTTTTCAGTTCTTCTGAATATATTCTCAGAAATGGAATAGCTAGGTCAAATGGGACTTCCAATCCCAGCTTTTTGAGGAACCTCCAGACTGATTTCCACAGTGATTTCATCCAGTCTACACTCTCACAGTGCAGAAGTGTTCCTTTTTCCCCACAGCCTCTCCAGCATTTATTATTGGTGGTTTTCTTTATCCTGGCTATTATTCCTGGAGTGAGCTGGAATCTAAGTGTTGTTTTAATTTACATTTCTCTAATGACCAATGATATTGAACATTTTTTTCTTATATCTATTTGCTATTTGTATTTCTTCATCTGAGAAGTGTGTATTCATCTCAGATTCTCATTTTTGGATTTGGTCTTTGAATTTTGGGGCCTTGAGTTTTTTTTTTTTTTTTTTTTTTTTGTCTTTTTCCTTTTTATCGGTACCAGAGATCGAACTCACGACTGCCCTGCCTGCTTGCCAGGCAGGCGCTTATGCCACTGAGCTAAACCCCCAGCCCCTGGGGCCTTGAGTTTTTAAAAAATTTTTTGTATGTTCTAGACAGAAGTTCTTAGTCTGAGGTACAGTTGACTGAGAATTTTTTCCCAATTTGTGGGTTTTCTTTTCGGTCTGTTAGAGATTTTTTTTGACATGCAAAAACTTTTTAATAAGATGAGATCCCAGGTGTTGATTCTGGGATGTATTTCCCATGCAGTTTGATTTTTGTTCATGAATTTTTGCTGACCCCTATGTCTTCAAGATTTCTACCTACTTTGTCTACTCCTTAAGACTTTTGGAAGCTTGAATCTACCAGGAAACGGCCACAGTTTCCATTTCCTGCTCTATGTTACTGAATGCCCTCAACAGGTGGTATGCAAATGGAAGAAAGGCTTGCTGGGGGCTGAAGCATTGCTAGGCACATGGAAAATTCTTGGTCTGTGATAGTCTGTTTTTACTGTTAGTTTTAAAAGTCTGGAATAGAGAAGTTGGATAGAAATAGCCTCTCTGGGCATTCATTCTCACAACTGAAGTTCATATACCTTGATTAAGCAGTCAGTGTCGAGGAGTTCTGGGATTACCAAGATGTATGACATGCTGTAAACTTTAAGGTGTAATAAATATGTGCATGGAGGAGACAGAGATGACTTATCATTACATACCTTATTATGTGCTATAAGGCCAGGGCAATCAAGGAAGGTTTCCCATTTTTATCTGGGCCTGGATAGATTAATTGGGTTTTATCAGATTGGAAATGGGAGTTGAACAAGAGGGAAGATGAGTCTGGAGAAGAAATTGATGGAGTAACATCTGTTGGGGAGAGGTTCTGTGGTTAGGGGAAAAATGATACAGTCAATATTGGTCTAGAGGCCCCTGTGCAGATTGTTCTGTCTGCATGGAACAGCAAATGCAAATATCACAGCACAGGATCATGCTTTTGGTGATGAGTGGTTCCCTCAGGGAGAGGTATGGCAGAGCCTAGGTACTGTGGACCTGCTAAGTGTTCTGTGCCCTCACTACGCTCCCTGGTGGTAGAGGTGTCTGCATGGCAACATGTGTACATGGACACTTCTATCTCACCTTAGGTTCAGTGCAAGCAGTTTGTTAGTACAAGTCAGACATGCATGTGATGTCCTTGCTGAGCGGAGACAGATGGCTAACAAGAATGTGGGGCAGATAGAGTAACTTCTTTGTTTAGGATGAGATCTCACTTCTTTCTCCAAGCTTCCTATTCTGACTGTGACCATCCTTTACCTTTGTTCCTGGGTGCGACTCTGGGAAGCCAAAAATTTCAAGGCAGACAATGCTCTGGTAGAACATTCAAGAGTTCGACATGCCTTGGAAAGGAGCAATTCCCTGAATTTGGGTCCACAGAACTTCACTGCTATCTGTCCTGGGTTGCTGGTAATAAGAGCCAACAAAGTTTTATTCTACTTGTCTTCAATAATGAATTTTTTTCATGGCTGTGATATGAGAACAAATTACTTGGTTTTTTTTCTTTGTAGATTTGTCAGTGTTATTAGTTAAAATTCTTGCTCATAATAGCATTATGGTGAATTCCTCTAAATTGTTGATGTTTCCTGATGCAGTTTGTAAGAGGCACTGCCTTGACCTAGTACTATGCTGTCTAATCTTTCCTCTGATTCTCACAGCACCTCAGGAAGGTAAGATGGTGGGTGCTGTTTTCTCCTTCTGCCCAAGAGAAGAGATCAGAAAGGCTGATAGCTATGACCCTAATTACCTGGTTGAGTTTAGAATGAAAAGTCTTACGGACTCTGTTGCATCATAGGTATATATGAATGTGCACTGTTCTTTTCCATTATGAACTTTCATTTGAGAGTACTTCTCCTTTGGCAAGTTAGGAGGCTGGCTTCTTCCTTGGGAAGTACTTGAACCCAGTAAGTGCTCAGTGGATGTTGAATGAATGAATGAACTCTGGAACATCATAACTTTGTTAATTTTTTTGTTTGTTTGTTTTTTGGCTACTGGAAATCGAACTTCGGACCTTATACTTGTCAGGTGAACGCTTATGTCACTGAGCTATATCCCCACCCCAATAACTTTGTTAGTCTTGCAGGCTTTGTTAATCTTCCATTTTGTCTCAGTCTTGCTTCCCGTAACTCTTTGGATCTTTAATCTGCAGCATCTCTTTGTAATCTCTAGAAATGTTTTTGGTTTTGTTGTGTTATAAAGAATTTCAAAATTGAGAAATTTTTTTATGGTTTTGGTCTTATGACATGGCACTTGAACTAAGTCAGTTTTCTCTCTTGTGGCCTCATCACTTGGACTTGTATGTTTCAGGGCCCTCAAAGTGCTTGGTTTTGGGCATAGCTTGTACTTTTAGACATTGTCATGGCCTCCTGCTATATGTGTAATTTTATCCCTGAGTCAATCTCAAAAGGGAAATACAGCTTACAGTGTTTATTAAGTGGATAGAATGATACTAACTTCTCAGGAGAAATCTAGAAGTTTCTAACCTTAAAACTAAATGATAATTAAGAGTGATGACTCCAATGTGTGCAAGTGACAACAATTAAGTTTGATACAGGTCGGAGACTTGAATCTATTTAACTGAAAGGTATGTTTTTCTACCCATGAATGCTTTCTTGTGTTGAAGATATCAGAAGGATAAGGGTATCTTCCCTGAGCAGTTATAGACTATATATTGAAAATACTCTCTGAATAGTGTCACCTGAATGCTAACTATAGAAGGAGGTGTAGGAATAATGATTTCTGTGTCAGTGTGGAGCCAAGTGTCACTTGGTCTTTTGTTTAGGTTGATAAAAAACTATAACAGGGAATAAATCACTGCTCTAAATAGAAGTTGTTTAGGGTCAAGACTTTGGGAAAACACTTAGAAACTGTCAGCTGTGTATGTGCCAAGGAAACACTTCTGCATTTATTCTCATCCCATCCTACCCTTGTGTTTTGTGTGACTGACAACCGTCTGTTTTGTGTGGCTGGTAAAAGTGATGAGCTAGCAGATTGGATCTCTTGGACTTATAGGAATTAGCTTGGAAAGGGAACAGGGAATTTATTTAGACAGTCCTTAGTAATTTATAATCCAGATAGTTGGGTGACAGGTAAGCTCTGCCAATTGAATTTGACTTTTCTTTCTTCCCTTAGGTGAATTGCGGCAAGCCATTGTAGCCATGATGAATAGGAAGGATGAGTTGGAAGAAGAGAACAGGTACTGGGATCTTCACTATCGAAAGATAGTCTCTTTCTTTGGACTGTTTTACCTCTGACACAGAGAGGACATAACAGATGAAGAAATTCTGTTTCATAGGCAGAAGTGACTGGGTTTTCCTTAGGTTTAGTCTGGATGTGCCACTGTCATATATCTAATGAGGCTTGTATGCAAGCAAGGAGTGAAAACCTAATAATAATGGCACTGCCTTAGAACAGAATAAGAATTTCAGAGTAGTCTTGCTTTTAAAAAAAAAACAGCTCTTAATGAGTTATAATTTACATATGCTATAGCTCTTCTATTTATTTTCATTGTACAGTCCAGTGATTTTTAGTGCAATGCACAGATACAGGCATTAATCATCAGTTTTAGAACATTTTCATCACCTCAATAAGAAAACCCCACCTCTCACCTCCCTACTCCCAGAGCAGTCTTTTGAGTAACCTTTGATTGAGAGTCTATTTACCATGTTCCAGATATTAAAATGCTTTCCTTAAAGTTGTCCAGGTCAAGTATACTTAGGGAAAGGTGATGTTAGGATTCTTTTGACTGAACAGATTCATTCTGGATACTGAGAAGGCAAAGAGTTTATTCTTTTCTTCCCATTTGAAACCAGTGCTCCGTGCTACCTGGTATTGACTGCATTGCCACCATCCAATTGAAGTTTCTCAGCTACCAAAGTCTGTTTTGACTCTGGGTGGTCAGTAGAAGTCTTATCTATGATTATCTCCTCCCTGCAGGAAGTAAGGGTGTTTGTACACCTCAATGTGCAAGAACGTGTGTTTGTCACCCTTTCTTTTTTTTTTATTTTTGAGAAAGGGTCTTTCTATGTAGTTCAAGCTGACCTTGAATTCACTATGTAAATCAGGCTAGCCTCGAACTCATGGCAACCTCTTGCCTCATTCTCCTGATTTTATGTCACACTCATCCCTTTATTCAGAGTGGTAATTAAGGGTCCATGGTGACAACCAATCACAGCTCTTGTAGACTTTATTGTGGGCCTTGTTTGACAAGCTTTTTGCTTGCTCTTTATGGAAATATATGAAAGCAAAGAAGCATAATCTCTAAAACAAAAAATGTTTTCAAAAAGGAATTTTTACAAAGCACAGTATTCTATTAAGATAAACTTTGGACAACGGGCTGTAGCTGCTATAGCATTCTCTTTTCTTGCTCTAGCTGAAGCTGTTCTTTTAGAAGAAGCTATAGAATTTGTCTTACCTATGAGGAACATTATTCACTGTCTGTTAATTTCTTCTTCCCAAAGAGGGAAGAAAATCAGTATGTATGTGTCAGGGGGCCTAAGGCCTCAAGAGAATAATTTTCTCTAAGTTCCAAAGGAACACAGGTCTTAAGTGAATAACCAGGGTTCGATAGGGTCCGGATATTTTGTTACATTCTGATGTCGCCTTTCAAGTGTCCTTTATACCACAGTTGGGTCATCATTTTTAAAAAATAGCTATTCAGGTGCAATAAAGTAAACGATCAATATAATCATTTTTGCTCATTTCTCAATGGTAATTTGTGATGATTTGTAGAAAATTTAATATTTTTTTCTGTGTTTCTAAGACTAGGAATGACTGCTGTACAAAACATATTTGGGGGAATCAAGAAATTTGGATTATAAAATACTAGTCATGATAGCGCTAACCATATAGCTGTGTACATTTATTTAGCCTGGAGATAGCAATGAAACAAGGCTCAAAGTATGCTTTGTGGGTAGTAATGGAAGTGAGATCAGACAAGACAGCTGTCCCACAATCGGAGCAGGTTGTCTGTTTTTATGCTGCAGATTATTGTTTTGGCCTCTTGTGACATCTTTTTCTTTGCTAAACCTCTTACTGTGTTCATGATAGAATGTCTCTGTTTAATGTGTTACACCTTTGAAAAGAATGTCTTTAAAGGGACTTACCTGAGATTTGCCCAAGTCATTTTTTTTCTCTTGATCTGAGTTGTCAGATGGCTGGCCTACTCCCAGGTGAGGCTGCCACAGATGATTATTCTGGGGTTCATAATAATCATTATTCTTAGGCTCTTGGCCCATGCTTGCTGTCTCCTTATATCAGTTTATTTGAGACAGACTTGAATTGTGTTCACATAGAGCCTTATGGACAGTGATTGAGTTAGGCCCTGACTTAGACCAAGAACTGTGTTCTGGGCTTGATGGGCTCTAGGTGACAGTGTCTGAACTGTTGGGACTCCTCTTCCCAGGTCACTGCGGAACCTACTTGATGGCGAGATGGAGCACTCGGCTGTGCTGCGGCAAGAGGTCGACACCTTTAAAAGGAAGGTGGCTGAGCAGGAGGAGCGACACACCATGAAGGTCCAGGCATTAGCAAGGTAGGGGATTGCAAGGGACCAAGAAGTAAGAACATGAAAGCTTAGTTAAAGCCAGGCAGAACTTTCATGTATACGTTATAACTTGTAAAAGTATAGTGACCAAAGAAAATAAAATTTATGCATTTCAATTTAATTTATTCAATGATACATATGCTTATGGTTCAATATTCAGAAGATTAAACTATGTGAGCCCCTCTTTTTTTTTGTCCCTTCCATTCAATTTGCTGCATAGAAGCAATACACATTATCAATTTCAGAGATCATCAAACTATTACAACCATTTGAGTATGTATTCCCTACATTCCCTTTCCCTGCCCCCAAATACCACTCACAGTATACCTTGGAGAGGGCTCTGTGCTGGTGGTTATAGGAACTGCCATCTTTTTAATAGTTCTTGCGGAACTATTAAATGACACTTAGTGGGTCATTATCTGACTGATGAGAATTTGTTTAAGCAGTCTCACAGCAACTGAGGGTGTTTTCAGTCTTTTGCAAGTACTAATAATTCCATAACTAATGACCTATGTGCTTGTTACCTGGTTCACATGTGAGTGCGTTTGTTAGAAGCATTCCCATAAGTAGACATGTTGGGTCAAGGTGCAGTGCATTTGTATGTTAGGGAGAGACATTAACTTCCCACTGCAGATGCTGAGCCAGAGATGTCCCACAGCAGCGTGCCAGATGACACCTGTGTCCCAGGTGTGCGTAAGAGGGTAGGATTCAGGTTTCAAGTCCCTGATAATATCATGGAAGAAAAAGGAGGGTGGTAGAGCATTTTTTCATTTGTATTTCTCTGATTATGAATATGATTGATTCTATTTTTATTTAAGAGCCTTTTTTTTCTGTGATGTTTATATCTTATTAAAAGAAAACTTCAAAAAAAAAAAAGAAAATGTTAGTGGACAAACAAAAATGCAACTTCCATAAAAATACACATTTTTTTACTTAATTTGTTCACATATGAACATATTTTTATATTCTGCACTTACAATCCATAGGCCATTACTTTTTTATTTTTTGGTCCCAGGGATTGAATTGAACTCAGGATCTTGTGTTTCCCAGGCAAGTGCTTGAACAGCCAAGCTAAATCCCCAGCCCCTAGCCCATTATTTTTTAATCCATCTACTTCTTTTATTTACTACCACAAGAGCAGTTTTTTTGTGGTAACTATTTTTATTTTCAAGAGCAGAATATATTTATTGGGGGAAGAAAACTTCAGTCAGACAGACAGAAGGTATCTTTTCAAGGGACTTGTTTAGAGCCATGTTTACTCTTTTTATATACTTGGTATAATATTTCATTGAGTTACTGCAACATAGTAAATTGGCCAGTTTAATATGGTCAATTTAGCATAGGGTTATTTCCAGTTTTCCCTCCTTTCAAATGAGGTAAGGAGTTTATTGCTTGTTCTTTAAAAGTGGTTTTAGGTAAGACCAAGAGAAAATTAAGACTGGGGCTGTTCTGGGGCACCCAAGGGTTGGGTGACATGCATGGCAGCTTTGGTGCTGTGAGGTAATATAATTGTTGTGTATCTGTAATTGAATGTTAGCACCATGACTTCTTATCCAAGTTTCATCCCTTTCTTTCTCTTCTAAAAGGACACCTCAAGAGCTTTAGTGCTAGTTAAATGACAATTATAAATAGTAATAAGTACTTACATTGGCATTTTCTTTAGTGGTTCTCCATTTCATCCAGCTATGCCAGAGCTTTGTGGCATAACTGCATTTGGTGTTCACAATAAACACTGAAGTCTTTAGGGACACTGGCTCTGAATCATCAATGACAATAAGGATTATATTTGCTGTCATTTTATTGGCTTGTGTTAGAAGTCCGCTTAGCTCCAAGTTCTACACCATTACTCTCAAATTGTGTGCTTGTGTGTGAATTACTCAGCATCTACAGATGTGTGTTTCCTCATCTATGAAACAGAGGGTAGCCTTACCCACACAGGCAGATTGAATAAACAGGAGAGTATGTAAGATGCCAGGGTGCTGGATATGTACAAACTATTGTAAATATGTGTAACAGTAAGTGTATTTTAACATATGATAATTCTAGGGCAAATTTTGTTCATAAAGTGGGTATAAAAAACTGATTTCCTAAGTGGACAGTTTTGTAATTGGAAGTCTTCCTATAACCAATGAGTAGCTAAGAGTTTAAGGCATCTGAAAGTTTGTGATTTGCTGGTGAGACATCTATAAAACAGATGGACTTTTGAAATGAAGAAAGCAGACTGATTAGTCTTGTAAGTTTTGACAAACTTAATAGCTAGCATGTTTCAGATAGCGTTCACCTTTGCCAGATCTATGAAGTTTCTTCTTGCCTCTGGCCAAAGCAGGAACATCAGTCTATGTTAGAGGATGGAGAACCTCTTCAGGCAGCTGTTGCTTGGGGTCTGGGAGTATGGTGGCTGATTGTACGTATTCTGAGTGTATTTGTGTGTGTGTGTGTGTGTGTGTGTGTGTGTATTACTGGTTTTGAGTATGACTATAAATCAGAAACATCACTGAGCAAACTCCAGATTTGGATACACACATTGCTTTTGCTCAAAATTAATGGCTCTCTCATGGTTTAGCAAAGAACAAGGTCATGTAACTAGCCCAGTGTTTTTGCGCCCACAAGCAACTGCTGGTTTCTCATGTGGAGTGATTATAATCAATTGCAATGAGACTGTGTAAGTCACTAAATAATTGATTACCTTGCTTCCTGCTGAATTAAGGAAAATAAGGCTATGAGACATGCTAGAAGAGCGAAGACCCAAATTTATATGAGAAATCCCTTTCAAGGAAATGTGTTAGTCTCTTATGCCACTGTAACAGATTACCACAGATTGGATAGTGCATAATGAACAGAAGTTAACTTGGCTTATGATTCTGGAAGCTGGAAAGTCTAAGATTGAGGGCCTGTATCAAGGGCATGCTGCTGCATCATAACAAGGCTGAAAGCTTCACATGTGTGAGATAGTGAGTGAGCAGGGGGCTAAGGGACTGAACTCAAGTTTTATAAAAAATTCACTCTGGGTAATGACATTAATCCATTGATGAGAGCAGCATCTTTGCATCCTAGTCTGGTTTTAAAGATCTCTCCTTTCAATATTGTTGCATTGGGGGATTAAGTTTTTAACACATGAACTTTGGGAGACACATTCAGCCATAGTAGAAAGCAAGTAAGCATGCTTTTTGTCTTATTGTGGGGACTTTCCTGTTTTTGCATATTGTATTAGTTATTTCTTGCTGTGTAACAAATTATCTCCACACTTGGTTACTTAAAACAACAATTTATAAACCCCTATAGTTTGTATGATTTAGGAACTGGGAATAGCTTTGCTGCCAGTTAGAGTCTCATGAAGTAGCAGTCAGCAAGGGTTGCTGTTATCTGAAGTCTTGATTAGGACTTTTCACTCATTGACTGTTGACTGGAGGCTTCAGCTTCTAGCCATTTGTTCCGATAGTGGGCTTCCATGCTGAATAACCCAAGAGCAAGAGAGTACCTTCAAGACGTTTTTATAACCTAATCGGGAGCCGGCACGTGATTGCTTCTGCTGTATTCTCTGGTTACACAGATCAGCTCTGATTCAGTGTGGGAGGGGAATATAAGGTATGAACATCAGGAGGCAGGGGGCACTGAGGGCCGTCCTAAAGGTGGCCCACCATGCGCAGGCTTCTTCCTGGAGCCAGAGGTCTTTTAGAGAGGTAGAAGTAGTAAGATATCTGTATCTCTCTGGAAAGAGACTTATTAAGTTATTTGCTCACATGATTGTGAATGCCGAGTTTATTGTCTACACTTGGAGGCCCAGGAAAGCCAATGATATAGTTTGAAGGCTTGAGAGCCAGGAGGCTGCTAGTGTTGAATGCCGTCTAAATCTGAAGGACCTAAGAACTAAGGGCAGGAATAGATCCATGCCATAACTCAAGTGGTCAGGCAGAGACAATTTACCTTCTTCTGTTGTTTTGTTCTGTTCAGGCTCAGTGGACTAGATGATGCCCTGCTGTACTCATAAGGGCTGTCTGTTTTACTTAGCCACCAATTCAAATGCTCATTTCTTCTGGAAATACCCTTATACACATGCAGAAGTAATGTTTCAGTTTTGTGGTACTAGGGATTGAACCACACTAAGCTGCATCCTTGGCCCTTTTTTTGTTTTGAGACAGGATCTTGCTAAGTTTCTCAGGCTGGGCTTGAACTTGAAGTTTTTCTACCTTAGCCTCTAACAGGTCTGCAAATACAGGTGTGGCTAAAGGTAATGTTTAATTTGATACCTGAGAATCCCATGACCCAGTCAGATTGACACATAAAATTAACACCCACACTACCTAATTTTCTCTTGATGCACTCATCTTCTTTCCTACACTGTCTGTGTAGTTTGGTGGGCTGACCCTACTACTCCCCTCCCTGAGCTCCAGGAAAGAAACTGGATTGAGGCCTGCACAGTCGGCTTCCTCATCCTTGGCCACCATGATCCCATCTAAGAATGACATATGACTAAACTGATCTAGTTACAGCATTCTTGAGAGGATATGGTGAAAGTCAGGAGTTGTTGGCCATTTGAGAGAAGATTCTAACCCAAGCATCAGCTATACAGTGGAGAAGAAGTAGGAGAAGCTGTCAATGATAGTATCCTCTGAGCTGCTGAATCCAATCTTTCCTAAGCTGTTTTTTTCCATCTGATATTTTAAAAGTGTTGGTCAATATATTGCTTTTGTTACTTAAGCCAGTTTGTGATTGCTTTTTCTCTGAGTTATAGTCTACAGTCCTGGCTAAGCGGAATTCTTGTCTGGATATTGGGGACACGGAATAGGTTGTGTTTTCTCCGCGCTGATTTATCCCTTCAACAGTTAAGCTGCCAGATCCCTGAAGTGACTTCAACTCTGTCTAGGTTTACCAGGGGAGGAGGCTATGTGCTTAAATAGAAACCCATTGGGTTGTTTCAAGAGCACCACCAAGGCTTTTCCTGTCTCTCCTGTAGAGTCCAGCCTTATTATTATGCTGTCATTACTGCT